ATAATTTAACAAATTTTTATTTATTATTTTTTTCATTTTCTAGTTATTTGAGTGACTGTTGTGGATTTTGCCTTTTCTTTAATTGAAGGGGATAAATACATTGGAGGACGACTGTACATGAGCTCTTGGCTGAATGTACCAGACGTACAAGGATGCATATTGAGCGCTCTCTGGAAAAATAACGATTTTGAGCATAATTGCGATGTTTCAGAAAATAGCTGCAAGAAGCAAAACCACACAGAAACAAAAGCTCCTTGGCTGATTTAAACTCATTACCGGGTGTTTTTCCCCCCAAAAGGCATTTATAGCCTCCCCCTTCTATAAAGAGTTATTCAAGGGACCTGTTCCCACCTCTTAATTAAATGCATGATGGCAAGATTTAAAAAAAAGTAATTTACTAATATAGATCCACCTTTTTTAGTTGCAAACACTGTCAATGGGTTAAGTAGACATAATAATATTATTGCATCAACTTCATATTGTCTTTAAGGTAAACAACATTTTCTGCCTCATTTAAAACCAAGTTCACGTTTCGGTAACTTCCAAGTCCTCTCCTCTATCTCAACATGCCATTTCAGATTGCTAAGACTGTTAATTAAAAGCACACTTAATTGACGAGGAAAAGCCCTTTTACTTAACTTTTTTTTAGTCGAACATTTCATTAGAAATCGTCACAGCTCGAAAAGACTGATGCAAACGATTGTGTTAAATTTATTTTGAGCCCAAACATGATTTTTAAAGTGTTGTCAGTTAAACATGATTATATCTAAATTTAACCTACAGTAGCTTCCCATCCCGTGACACCAAGAACAGCAAAAACCTCCTAGATGTGAAAAACAGAGTAGAAGGACCTGAAGCTTTTCCATCCGCACTGTTAAAGGTTTCTGTTAACTCTGCAGTTTCAAATGAACCTCGTTTGACGGATAAGTGTACTTATCCGTCCACTTAAAATAACCCTTTGTCCCTTTAAACTGATGCTTACTGCTCCTTCAGACAACACGACGCTCACATTTCTTGACATTTTTTTCTGCCTTTTACTTCAAGTTGGATCACAGAAGTTCCCGTTTTACATTTTAAGTTCTGGTGAAGCAAATATGGAAAAATTAAAAAACGGAACTTGACTTTACTTAAAATGAAGTTGCAGCAATGCAGGCTGTTTGTTTGAGAGGAATCAAATGACTTTAAACAGTGGCATTAATATGACTTGTTCACTTCATTTGGATGAACTTAATTCAAGTTACCAAATGAAATAATTCCAAAAATTCTCTCTTGTTTTCCTCCAGTGTGACCTGTATTTGTAGACTCGACACACACCTGCTGATCTGGTTGAACCACCGATGTCAAATATTTAACCTGCAAACATAAATGCACTAGTGTGTATAATAGTATAACAGCTTGTTTTCACAGTTGAAGATGATTTTTCAGTGTCAGGGTTGCAGCTGTAATGGTTTTAATATCCAGACCGTCTCTGTGAAGTTTCATTGAAACTCATCTCTCTGTGAAAAACCCCAGAGCTTCACTTCTGCTTCTGGTTTCTGTCACGTGAAGGTCAAAGCTCTCAGTTTGTGGAGTTGCTCAGAGGAGACGAACGAGACGAAGCTGGAGCTGAAGCAGCCGTTCTCCTCCGCACTCAGCCAGCTGTCTCTGCACGCGCTGTCGCATAACTCCCAGAGTGAACAGCGAAGCAGCCACCAGGTGCAAGAAGACGCTCACACCGTCGATGCATTCACATACTTCTGTTTACGTCTGCTGTGAGTGATTTAACTGTATGTTTTCTGTGTGTGCGTGCAGACTCATCTGTCATGGGGAAGCGCAGTTCCTGTCAACGTCTCGCTGAGCCTGAACAAACAGTGGCAGAGCAACTCCAGCAGGGGGCAGGCCTGTGCTCTGCTGTCGGCGCAGCAGGTCAGCGGATCCACTCCACTTTAACCCTGTTCAGGACTTTTGGGGTCTTTTGGACCCCAGGCCATTTGGTAAAGAGGGACATTTTCATGCATTTGGAACCAAAACTACGTCAACTTATCAGAAAATGTATTTAGTATAAAATAAAATATAGTATAAAAGTCTGGAATGAATGCCAACAAATATTTGAAATATTTGAATATCTGGGCTGCAAGGTGTCTCAGTGGTTAGCACCGTCGCCTCGCAGCTAGAAGGTCGCCGGTTGGCGTACCAGTGAGGACACCTGGGATCTTTCTACATGGAGTCTCCATGTTCTCCCCGTGCAGCGTGGGTTCTCTCCAGGTTCTCCGGCTTCCTCCCACAGTCCAGAAACATGCTGAGGTTAATTGGTGATTCTAAATGGCCGTAGGTGTGAAGGTGAGTGTTCTTGGTTGTCTGTCTCTAAGTGTAGCCCTGTGATAGACTGGTTACCTGTCCAGGTGAACCTGCCTTCACCCTGAGTCAGCTGGGATAGACTCTAGCCCCCCATGACCCTAGTGAGGATTAAGGTGTAGAGATGATGGATGGATATTCTTTTTTGGGGTCCAATGAACCCTGAATGACCCTCTACGTATGGCAACATGAAAGTCCTGAACAGGGTCAAAACTCTTCATGAAACAAAATGAAACAATCATCTGATGAACTGGTGTGTTTTTGTGTTTGTGTAGATGTTAGTGTCTTCTGTTAAAGGCTGTGTGTCAGTGGGGCAGGAGGGAAACTCGTATTCACAAAACGCAGAGCTGAGATGGGACAACAGGAGCGTGAAACAAGGCCTGAAGTACCAGGTAATCTGCTGGATGCTCAATGGAGAGACAGTTGATTTCCACATTTAGTGTTTTTGATTTCCACTTTGTGTTGCGTCGTCTAGAAAGGCCCGCTGGGACAGCACAGCCTCCAGGTCAGCGTCGGCCTGGACAGAGTTTCTCCTGCGCCTTGTTCTTCGCACACACTTCTGGCAAAGGTTCAGAGCAACCTCAGGGACCATCTGGAGCACACCGTGCTGCTGGGCCTCTGCCCCCCACAGCCTGTGAGTCCACGCCGCCGCCTTTGTAGGGATTATAAACACGGCTGAATATCCGATTCCAATTCGCTTTACTTTTCGCTTTACTGTTTACAGGTGCGTCTCATAAAATCAAAGCACTGCGGTGAGGAAAAACTCTTCTTTTTTTTTTTTTAGCTGAATATAAGTGCATGTTACATAATCAGAACACAGTGGGAAAATTCCAATATTTTTTTCATTACAAATTGCTCAAAGTAAGAATTTGGATATATTCCAGACTCGTTACACATGAACTGACATATTTCACACCTTTATTTGTTTTTAGATTTTATCCAACAGCTCATGAATTTGTAATGCAGAACCTCTGAACAGCGTGTCTGCTCTGTTACCGCTCAGCCGAGGCTCCCTTTGCGTGAATCACACGGCGTGGCGTGTCGGCCATCAGCCTGTGGCCGTGCTGAGGGCTGACAGACGCCCGGGTTGCCCTTTAGCTCGTTTTTATTGTTGGTTCTGGTTCGTCTCATTCTCCTCTTGATAACAGATTTTCTGTGGAGATCTGGTGAGTTGGCTAATCTGTGATGCCGAAGTCTGTGAGCCATTTCTGAGCGGTTTGGCCAGCGGGGGGAGGAGGCTAGAATATACAGCGCTGCCCACTTAACATCACAGCGCTTTACACAATATTCCGTTTATAATCATAAAATGTTAAATCATTTCCTATATAAGCTGTAGTAAACTAGCCCATTTACCATTATAGAAAAATGTCATAATCCTGGTTTTTGTCATCACGAAATTCCCCAAAACTGATTCCAGGAATAACTTTTGCCTGTTTGAAGTCATGGTCGGCCGATCGCTACGGCTCACGGGCCGATCGTTGGTCATGCCTGGCAGATTATCACACCAACGTGTTGATTCGTTTGTCAGTCACCTGCTCAACTGAGATCTGATCGCTGAGTTATTCATACGCTGTCTGACATTAATTAGGAAACATCAAAGAGAATCACATGTTGTCACTCATACCTGAACTGCTCAGCGAGTTAATTACGACAAGTTAATCCTCCTAAACCCTCTGAGGAAACAGGAAATAACTTCTACCGGTGGGGTGGCTTTTTGTACCAATAAAGGTGAAATTTCACCATAAAGCTCCGTTTAAATAAACATTTCTTGATCTTGTGAAAACGTTCCCATTTTGGCTTAATAAATCCCCATTTTTTGTCACACAGACAGTTTTCTCAGTGCTCTGTTGTTGCGTTTCTTATTGGAATATCCCGGATGTGGTCATGATTCCATCCTGGACCGAGGTTATGATAATAAACGGGCAGCACTGCATCACTTTGACCAATGTCTAATAAAAAATACTGACATTTTCCCACCATATTCTAATTATATAAGATGCACTTCTATCTGGCTAAGTCCAAACAAAATAAATGATTTTAAAAATGCTAAGTCGGGCACCTCAACAATTCACCTGGATGAACAGGTGTCCTGTGTAGAATGGCTATTGTCCATGATGCTATTCTCTGACCACTACGTGCTCTTCCGTCTCTTTCTCTGTCTGATAAGAGCAAAAATGCCCAAAAAATTATGTTTTTTTATCATTCAATATCAATGTCTGATTGGTTGCTAGTAACACTGACGGATAAATGTTGAAAAGTTGAACAACCTGAACAACCTCACTATCGAGACTAATCTATCTATCTGTCTATCTGTCTATCTGTCTATCTATCTATCT